GTTCCCAAACAACTGGATTACTTCCATTTTACAACACTTCTCAAATTTCTCCCCTCCTTTCTATCCTTTTCTTCTAAACCAATTATGCACTATCTTCTAAACCACAGTGCCTCTGTGTCTCACTCTGCCCCCTGTGCAACCACGTGGTTGGGCACATGGCCCTTCCCTTATTCACATCCGCTGTTCAGGAAACAGCATAATGCCATGAGGCCTGGGTACCAGCTATCATACTATCACTGAATCCTTTGTAAATAACAGCATCCACCCAATCATCTAATTCACCGTGGGGAAAAAATGAAGGAAAACTGCCATTTCTAGATGTCCTAGTCATCCACAAACCAGATCAACAATTAGGTCACATAGTTTACAGAAAACATACACACACACACACATACATAGATACCTACATAAAAACTCAACCATCACCACAGTCAAAAAGGAAGCACAATTAAAGCCCTGACAGACCGGGTAAAAAGAATCTGCAAACCTCACCTCCTAAATGAACTGAACCGCCTAAAATAGGCTCTACAGGCCAAAGGAGACTCCTCCACAGACATCAAAATAGCTGCAAGACAAAGAACAAGCCATGAGAGTAAAGACAAAGATCCACCCAGAGGAAAAGTGTTGTTACCATACATCAAGGGAAGCACTGACTGCATAGGGAAGCTGATGAAGAAACACAATCTACAAACTATTTACAGATCTACTAAGAAAATCCAACAAATGCTACATTCAGCAAAGGACAAGAGGAAGAGGGATCCTCTCACTTCTGCAGGAGTCTTCCATATACCATGCACCTGTGGACAAGTCTACATAGGGACCATCAAATGTAGTAGTATTGCACAATCACGAATCAAAACATGAAAGGCACTGCAGATTCAACCAGAGAAGTCAGCCATAGTAGAGCACCTGATGAACCAACATGGACACAACATATTATTTGAGAACACAGAAATGCTGGACCACTCTGACAACCACCATGTCAAACTACACAGAGGAGTCATTGAAATCCACAAGAAGCGTGTGGACAACTTCAACAGAAAGGAGGAATGAAATGAACAAAATCTGGCTACCAGTATTTAAAAACTCTAGAATCAAAACAGTAAATAAAGAGCAACACTAAAAAAAACCAGAGGATTATCAGGGCCAGCTAATACCTCCCAACAAAGGATTCCTCCATGCAGGAAGCAACCAGGCTTTGAAGCTGCAAGACCATTCAGTGCTTATCAAGATGTCCAGTTGCAACATTCACACTTGCCTCAAGCAGACAAGAGTTCTTTCCCCCACTCTGGACATTCCACGGATATATAAACCTCACTTGCCTAGTTTCCAACAGACCTCACAACTTCTGAGGATGCCTGCCATAGATGAAGGTGAAGCGTCAGGAGAGAATACTTCTGGTACATGGCCATGCAGCCTGGAAATCTCCCAGCAACCCAGCCCACTAGCTATTAGGGATTGTGGGAGTTGAAGTCCAAAACACCCGGAGGGTTTGCCTAGGTCTGGGCTACAGTGACTACTATCTTTTACATTTTAAAAAAAAGTTAACACTTCGTCTTCTGATCTGTGAAGAAAGGTCAGGCTGCAGGTGACTTCTGTCTTTGGGGAGGCATGTCCTCTATAAATAATTTATAAATAATTTATAAAGAGGGCCTGTGAGGGAGAACAGAAACGTCTGGCTACAGGCAACTTCTACATCAATGAGGAGGCTTCTGTTTTGTTAACAGACTCACAATTTGGGTTACCCTAATTAGCACTGTTTTTTGGATGAGATGAGTTCTGGATCCATTTCAACCTGGTTTTGGGGCTATGAGCAGGATAGAGTTTCCTATTATTGCCTTATTGCACTGTCCCAAAGGCTTGGCCCCACAGTCAAGTTTTTATCATCTTTCTGAAGGAGAGGAGGGAGGGGGCTGATCTAATCTTGCCAGGGAGGGAGTTCCAAAGCTGAGAGGAAATCACTGAGAAGTCCGCTCTCTCGTCCCTGCCAATCGCGCCTGTGACGGTGGCGGGACCGAGAGCAGGGCCTCCCCAGGAGATCTGAATCCTGCGGTGGTTCATAGAGGGAGATGCGTTCGGACAGGTAAACTGGGCCGAAGCTGTTTAGGGCTTTATAGGCCAAAGCCAGCACTTTGAATTGTGCTCAGTAGCGAACTGGCAATGCACTGGATGAGAGTGAACAACTGAAACTTAATCCAAACAAGACTAGAGGTGCCCCAGGTTACCTTGAAAGAGATCAGGGAATAGGTATTCAGCCTGTCCTGGATGGGATAATACTTCAGTGTGCACCTAAGCTCAGGTTCCAGCAGTGGCTAGGAGTGCGTTTGCACAGTTAAATATTGTCCTCCAACTGCATCTGTTCCATCAGATCTGATCACATTGATATATGACTCGGTTTCATCCCAATTGAATTAATGTAACAAACTTGTAGGTTTTTTCGGGCTATATGGCCATGTTCTAAAGGCATTTTCTCCTGACATTTCTCCTGCATCTATGGGAAGCATCCTCAGAGGTAGTGAGGTCTATTGGAACGAGGAAAAGGGGTTTATATATCTGTGGAATGACCAGTGTGGGACAAAGGACTGTTGTCTGCTGGAGCCAGGTGTGAATGTTTCAACTGATCACCTTGATTAGCATTTGATTGCCTGGCAGTGCCTGGAGCAATCCTTTGTTGAGAGGTGATTAGATGTCCTTGTTTGTTTCCTCTCTGTTGTTGTGCTGTTGTAATTTTGGAGTTTTTAATACTGGTAGCCAGATTTTGTTCATTTTCAATACAATTTGACAATACAATGTAACAAATTGTTTGTGGACATGCCTTTGAAGAAGGTTCAAAAACCTCAATTGCCCAAAGAGTTGCAACCATATTGCTATCCTGGACTTAACTACAGGGAACACAAAACTCCATTGTTGCAACAGCTCCATTGCCTGCCAGTTCGATTCTGAGCACAATTTAAGGTGCTGGTTTTCACCTATATGCTCAATTCTAAGTTATTTGAAGGATGGAAATATTATTTATGAACAAGCCCATGGTTTGAAATCTGCTTAGGAAGCCCTTTTTATGTTCTACCACCTTCACGGGTACATCTAACATGAACATGGGAGAGGGCCTACTTAGGACCCTTCCAGACGGGCCCTATATCCCAGGATCTGATCCCAGATTTTCTGTTTATCCCAGATTATCTTGGAAGTTAGACTGGTGCCCTCCCTGTTTTCTTCTTGCAGACAAGTACCATATATATTCATTTATAAATCAACCTCGAATTGGAAAAACACTATAGAAATAAATATCATCTCCAGCAGCAAGCCCCTTTTAAAAATGAGAGTACTCCTATATTCTATTTGAGTTAAGATTGTGACATCACAGATCACCTACCAGGATCTTATTGGTTAAAGTAAGCTATTGTTACGTAACAAAAATTCTGGTGTCAGGTTTGTTGGGGAAACATCCTTCACTTAAGTAAAGGACAAAAGTAAGTTGCAGAGCTCCACTTCTAAAAAGAAAGTAAGGTATGCTAGAAGAATAGTCTTAAATCTTTCTACTTAGATGATGGTAATGGATTACTCAATAGGGTTATTGTAGCAGATAGTAACATAACATGAATTCAACACCCGCAGCTTCAAAATGAGTATCACATATTTATTTAGTTGTGAAGATTGAAAGTTTTATATAGATATTCTTTCTTAAGGGTGGGTCTTTGTATGTGAAATGGTGGCTACTGTGGCTATAAATATTAGCTCAACAAACCGATTTATAATAAAAAGGATATACCACTTTCCTATCTAAAACAGAGATGCTCCTGTGGCTGGCTTAATTAACAAACCTGTCTTATTTCAGCAAACTATTGTTCAAAATAGGTAGCTAGAAACTCTGAAATTATTATGAGACCCAGCCAAAGCTGTTCAGCTGTGAAGTGCGATAGAAGTTGTAATTAATCAGCATCTGGAAGAAAAAAATGTGTTCTCCTTCTGTCCCATTTAAATTAAATTAACCTAAAATCTTATTTTACAAAAGTTAAAATGAGAATGCAATCTTGTCAAAGCAATGATGGAGAAGGCAATGTTTGCTACTATTGATTACTTCTGCTTATCACATTAAAAGTAAACTACTTCAGCATTACTTTAGAAACAGACCATTTTTTTCAGTTCTCAGAAAAACATCATGAGCAATTTAGGTAAAGTGAAAATTTACTGCAAATGATCAACTAATAAGATCATCATAGTGTGTTCAAAGGCAGATTGGTCAATTTAAAATTCTTTTTCCTAGTAATTTCCAATTTTTAGATCAGTATGCGATCCATATTTTTTTAGGACTAAATATATACTGTATTCAATTTTTGTGTGTGTGTCAGAAACTGCAAGTTGCTTTTAGTGTGAGAGAATTGACCGTCTGCAAGGACATTTGTCCAGGGGACACCCAGATATCTTGATGTCTTACCATCCTTGTGGGAGGCTTCTCTCATGTCTCTGCATGAGGTGCTGGAGCTGACAGAGGGAGCTCATCTGTGCTGTCACCAGATTTGAACCTCTGACCTGTCGGCCTTCGGTCCTGCCGGCACAAGAGTTTAACCCAGTGCACCACTGGGGGCTCCATATTGAGAAACATAACCATCAGCTGATAAGTAACACAGCATACACAATTCCTTCCAAATAAGAAAATACCATAAGCAATATCCAAAGTCTTGTAGGTTTGCATCATATTCTTGCTTGCATATGAAAATACATGGATTACAATTATGGACTCCCATTTTATGGACCTAGTAATAATGTTTATATTAATATATTAATGTATGTTTATGCTCTTTTTCAGGTTCATATTGAGATTCATTAACTCATAATTCATGCTGCAACTAAAAGGCTTTCTACCATATACTGTGGTTCAATACAATGCAGAACTTGGAGGACAGGCGAATGATGCATATCTCTTTTAATATGGAACAGGAAGATGATTTAGGACATCAGCAGCTGCATCAAAATGCCCTGAGTCAACAGAATGAGATCATTCGTCTTCCAGATATCTGTTCATTAGTGAAAAGCTCTCAAGTGGATAATAATCATTTGCAAAAGGAGTTCTTCTCTCTCAAGATCAGGAACTGTTCTCTTTTTAAAGCTGCCCCGCTGCCCCATATTGGCAAAAAAACATCACCCCATCAGATTGGAGGGACAAACGGAGCTGCTTCGTCCAAGGAATCACTTGGTGTTCTTTTCCCCCCAGAAAAAGATATATTTGAGAAGCTCTTCAATAGTTTTGATAGTACTGCAGTGGCGGGCTGGCTGGAAACAGCCCACAACCTCATTAGTGAAATGGGGGAATGGAGTTGCTCTGGAGACAACTTTGTTCACTTTGCACATTTCTGGCTGTCTGAGCTCCAGTTCAATCAAAAACAACAACTGTTGGAGCTGGAAATGGGAGTTATCGAGGATGAAGTTCGCCTTTCATTTCTTGAGGGACCAGACTCTAAGGAAATCCAGCCTTCAGAGTTGAACTCTATTCTTGCTGCTTCGCTCAGTGAATATCCCATGGGACTTGTGAACAACCAGAATGCATTCATTTTCCTTGACTACTTAAACCTCATGTCTTCAGTAGATGCATCTGGATATAAGGAAATGCTTTCAAACATACAGTACACAATCAAGAACCCTCAGATTACTCAGTGGTTGCTAGCTATACGAGCATTTGCACTTGCCAGTCTTTGGCACGCAATAGTGAAGGTAAAAACCCACTAGTTCAGAAATGCTAATGATGATTGTTTTCTGTATTCCCTGCAAGGTTGCTTTAAAATCGATCTGGTGCCAAGATGAAGTGCTTCAATAATTTTAATTTGGTAATGTGTTTTTATTAAGAACCTTGACAATTGAGATTGAATAGCATTACCAAGTTAACATTACAGTGAAATGTCAGAGTACTTTTTTAGCTGTAGAATATTATGGAAATTATTTTGGTTTATTTTCAAGCCTTTTGGATAAAAAGGGGGCTACAGAACTGGTGGAAAACAGTCTTCAGGGCCCCATCCTGCTATCATTAGGTGGGAGCTTATGGCCCTTGAGGGGGTTTCACCAGTAGCCACCATATTTTTTCCCAATGGCTTGACTGGATGGGTAAGTCTGAATCATCTGTGGGGCCATAGATACCCCTCTCTGTAGAATCGCTTCTGAATGAACATAGAATATACGTCATATTACAGGGATGTGTTTGAGTGTTGCAGTAGTGTGATCTGTTTCATGCATGTGATGTTAGTACATATTTCCACCATATGTACACATGATAAGAAAACCACCAAATTCCTGCTTTTTGTTCTGTGCAGCCCTGTTGTGCATGTTACTGTGAGTATACATTACAATTCCTGAAGTAATTCAGGAACTTATAAACATGACATGTATCTCTGATTTTGGCTGTTGTTGAAGGGCCATTAGAATACCTTTCTAAATGTAGTTCTCTTTGTTTACACTGTGAGATTGTTTAGTGGTAACAACTTCACATTCTGACAGACCATGGTTTGCCAAACCCAAATTCTGAAGCCATAGTTTGAACCTGGTTTCAAACGGAGAAAATGAAATTATTTGTTCTTCCATCACCTCAAAAACATGGTTTGGTCTGTTATCTAGGCTCTGAGAGATCAATGTTTGAGAATCTCCAGTAGCTCTTCTAGAGAAAAAGTAAAAGAAAGAAACCTGTACACCTGTTGTTTTCCTGTACTCTGCATTACAGATCATGGTTGTAGTGACAACTGAATTAGCTGTATAAGAAAACTGTCTATAACAGCAACAGTATTTTTAGCATGAACATATATTTGACCCTGAATGCACTCACAAAGTGATGATTTTAAAAGGAGCTTGGTATTTAAGAACTATGAAAGTTTTCTATACTTGTATCATGTACTTTTGCATAGGGGGCTATCTAGAGGTCAAGGCATGTGTCTTTATAGATCACAGTTATAAATTTTATATTTGCAATTTGTTTCTCTACTGCAGTGGTTCTCAACCCGTGGATCCCCAAATGTTTTGGCCTTCAACTCCCAGAAATCATAGCAGCTGGTTAACTGGCTGGGATTTCTTGGAGTTGTAGGCCAAAACACCTGGGGACCCACAGGTTGAGAACCACTGCTCTCCTGTGTTTGATCAGTTGCAGATATTTATAATTCTACAGTCCCAGTATGCATGCTTGAAAATCTATTGCAATCAGGAAAGCCCATTCCCAGATGAACATACGTCCAGAAGGTCATTATAGCAATTTTCTATGCATTACGTATATAAATAAGAACAAGGCAAAGGAAGCTTAACAAAACTTACTTGGAAGAAGTCACTTGTTTGAATCACAAATTCCAGAATTCTCCAGCCACTACGACTACTGGCCATGATGGTTTGGAAATTCTGGGAATGGTGGTTCCTAAAAATAACCCTTCCAAGCACTATTCCTTAATAGAGCTGAGATCGTAAAATTAACTGGAAATCTCATTTCTGCTTACTGTGTAGATGCTAACAATTTTATTAACTGTCTTCACTAAATAATTTCTTTCTGAAGAATATTCAAGAAACATCTCGTAACATGCTGGAGGCGTGATCACATAATCCTGTTTTCTGTAAAACGTAACACTTTATAACTTGATGTTAAATCATTTAATATTCACAAACAGATATATCATCATGATGCATTAGGTATTGCTTAAGAAGACACACCTTTGTCAGTTTCAGTAGAGGTCTGGGGTTAAGATTCCAGAGATGGGCCTGTTTATTTTATATTCTAGAGTAAAAGCAGAAAATATCAGCTTTCAGTGTCTGCTGTTCTTGCGTGCCTCTTCATAAGTGTGGCATAAGTGCTTCTAAAGAATAATCACATGTAGTTTACAGTATTGGATGTCAGTTGAAGCACCTCTTCTCTCCCTGAATGGCATCTCTGCTTGAAAGAACCTGTGTGCTTGTTGTGTTAAATTATACATATGTATTTGACAAAACCTCTGAAGACTGAGACCTAAACTGCAGGAGTCAATGGGCATATTTACCTCTAAAATCAGAACTGGGGGACCTGTGGACCTGCAGATGTTGGTCATCTACTGTTCCCATGATTTCTCGGAAGTGGGAGGAATTATGGGAACAGCAGAATGTTTGGAAATTAGAAACTACAACATCGAGGAATCATGTATTCCAAAGTTCTGTCTTCAAGCATTTGGGGAAAATGAGGTGGCTCTTTGTCTTTTGTGTTTTGCTGTGAAAAATATAATTTGAGCTGCATCAGCTTTTAAAGATCCGTGCAATGAATTATTAGGACTGGAATCCAGTGAATGACACAATTTGTTCTGCAAGACAAGGGACTTGAGTTTCTTTTTCTTGAAAAACAGTGCTACACAGCACACCTGTCTTCATATTGAAATGGATTTGAACACTGTTGGGTATGCTTGCAGTGACTCACTTGGTCTTGCTTAAAATTTGTGTGTATTTACATATGTAACTTTATAGCATTTCTTTGAAAAGTATCTTGATGAATGGATTTGATGTATTTTAATGCAAACTGTACCCTTGACTTGAATTTGATGATTAAACACTTGAAAGGTAATTGAAATATTCCAGTAGAGCTGAATGGAAATGAATTTGTTGAAATTAGTGACAGTATGACTTAACATCACTTTTAAGCTGAAGAATTTAAGGGAAGTGCTATATTTAACCTGATCTTGTGCAAGTTGCTTCAACACAGGCATCCTCAAACTGCGGCCCTCCAGCTGTTTGGGCCTCCTACTGCCAGAAGCCCTAATGAACTTGTTCAATTGTCAGGAATTCTGGGAGTTGAAGGCCAAAACAACTGGAGGGCCACAGTTGAGGATGCCTGCTTTAGCAGTTTGTTTGGATATGATAGTAAGCCAGCATCCTGGTTTACGGTTCATAAACACTGTCTTATTCACTTTTCCCACAGCCTTTTCACACCAATGGCTGATGCTGAAATAAATAGAAACCAATTGGGAGACAAAAGTTTATGGTTGAATCTCAACCAGGTATCCAGGTTCTTTGGATGTTCATCTTCAAATCCTGTCATATTAGAAGAGTGACATATCCAGAATCCTGTTTCAGACTTAACACCAACCCTTTGCTTCATGATCAGTTAATTGTTACCTTGAAGATGGAATGTGCAATTAATAAATAATATGTAGTCATCTCTCTAGTTGTTGAATGCCTTCATCATTTCTAACTTATGGTGACCCTGTCACCTTGGAGAGATTTATTCAGAATGATAGTGTCGCTGTAAGTCGGAAGTGATTTGAAGGCATTCAAAGTATGTTTGCCTTCATCTTCTAAGGCTGAGAGAATGTGACTTGCCCAAAGTCACCAAGCAAGAATTCATGGCTGAGCAAGGATTTGAACCACATCTCCAGAGTCATGGTCCAAACACCATACTGGCTCTCCCACTAGAAGCTGGAGTCAGATTGTAGCTGTGCATCAGCATACATTGATAAACTTCTTATGAACTGTAAAGTTGGAGTAGATCTACCAATGGGCCCAACCACTGGGGAAGTGGGAGAGAGGAGTCCTGATTGCCCAATGGCACCAAACTGAGTTGGCTGATGCCTGCTGTGACCTTGGCTGGGTCAACAAAGGGAAAGGAGGCATTGCTCCCTGCTCTGTCCTTCCCTTCCCTGATTGCCCCATCGCTCTGGCCAATGTTACTGCTGACAACATGGAGAATGGGAAGGGACAGTAAATGTCTTTCTGTGTCCCTGGGCCAGGACAGCCCAGGAAACACGGGACAGCAGTGGACCCTAAGTCCGGGGATGCTCCAAATTCTGGGCCAGAATTGAAATTACTCCCAACTTTGGCTAACAAGTCAAGACTGTGTTTAGGTGGCTTTGTCCCACCTTACCCTGGAAGAGCTCGTTTGAGTGTCCTGGAACTTATCTGGAGTCCTTTCATA